TAGTAACTTGGTGATAGTGACTAGAGAACTTTGTCAATTACTATCTTATCTAGAAGATTAACTCCCACTTGATTCAAGTAATTGTAGTACCCAAACAATCTGAGCACATGCTCACTAGTTGAGCTATTCTCCTCCATCTTGTAGGCAAAGTACTGTCAGAGGTCTTCTACCTCTCGACATGGGCATGACTATGAAATACCAATTTCAAATCTTAGAACATCTTATATGCTCTATGGCGTTCAAAACAGTTTTGAAGTCCCGGTTCTAAGCCGTAAAGCATGGTGCACTAAACTATCAAGTAGTCATCACACCGAGCTTTACCAAATGTTCATAATGTCTGTATCAGCTCCTGCAATAGGTCTGTCACCTAGTGGTGCATCAAGGATATAATTTTTCTGTGCAGCAATGAGGATAATCCTCAAATCACGGACCTAGTCTGCATCATTGCTACTATCATCTTTTAACATAGTTTTTCTCTAGGAGCATATCAAAAAATAAATGGGGAGCTACATCGCAAGCTATTGATATACAACATAGATATGCAAATACTATCAAGACTAAGTTCATGATAAATTAAAGTTCAATTAATCATATTACTTAAGAACTCCCACTTAGATAGACATCTCTCTAATGATCTAAGTGATCACGTGATCCAAATCAACTAAACCATGTCCGATCATCACGTGAGATGGAGTAGTTTTCAATGGTGAACATCACTATGTTGATCATATCTACTATATGATTCACGCTTGACCTTTCGGTCTCTAGTGTTTCGAGGCCATATCTGCATATGCTAGGCTCGTCAAGTTTAACCCGAGTATTTCGCGTGTGCAAAACTGGCTTGCACCAGTTGTATGTGAACGTAGAGCTTATCACACCCGATCATCACGTGGTGTCTCGGCATGATGAACTGTCACAATGGTGCATACTCAGGGAGAACACTTATACCTTGAAATTTAGTGAGAGATCATCTTATAATGCTACCGCCGAACTAAGCAAAATAAGATACATAAAGCATAAACATCACATGCAATCAAAATATGTGACTTGATATGGCCATGATCATCTTGCGCCTTTGATCTCCATCTCCAAAGTACCGTCATGATCTCTATCGTCACCGGCATGACACCATGATTTCCATCATCTTTATCTCTATCAATGTGTCATCACATGGTCGTCTCGCCAACTATTGCTCTTGCAACTATTGCTATCGCATAGCAATAAAGTAAAGCAATTATTTGGCGCTTGCATCGTATGCAATAAAGAGACAACCATAAGGCTTCTGCCAGTTGCCGATAACTTCAACAAAACATGATCATCTCATACAACAATTTATATCTCATCATGTCTTGACCATATCACATCACAACATGCCCTGCAAAATCAAGTTAGACGTCGTCTACTTTGTTGTTGCAAGTTTTACGTGGTTGCTACGGGCTGAGCAAGAACCGTTCTTACCTACGCATCAAAAACCACAACGCGGTATACTGATTGCTTTTTGATCTTCAAAAAGAACCCTGTTCATTGAATCCGATTCAACTAAAGCGGAGAAACAAACACCCACTAGCCACCTGTGTGCGAAGCACGTCGGTAGAACCAGTCTTGCATAAGCGTACGCGTAATGTTGGTCTGGGCCGCTTCATCCAACAATGCCGCTGAATCAAGAATCAACTAGTGATGGCAAGCAATATGTATATACCTACGCCCACAACTCCTTTGTGTTCTGCTCATGTATATGACATCTACACATAAACCTGGCTCTGATGCGTCAGGAAATGCAGTAATTTCAAAAAGAATTCCTACGCACATGCAAGATCATGGTGATGCATAGCAACGAGAGGGAAGAGTGTCGTCCACGTACCCTCGTAGACCGCAAGCAGAAGCATTATGACAACGTGGTTGATGTAGTCGTACGTCCTCACGATTGACCGATCCTAGTACCGAAGGTACGGCACCTCCGCGATCTGCACACGTTTGGCTCAATGATGTCCCACGAACTCACGATCCAGCAGAGTGTCGAGGGAGAGCTTCGTCAGCACGACGGCGTGATGACAGTGATGATGATGCTACCAGAACAGGGCTTCGCCTAAGCACCGCTACGATATGATCGAGGTGGATTATGGTGTAGGGGGGCACCGCACACGGCTAAAAGATCAATGATCAACTTGTGTGTCCATGGGGTTCCCCCTCCCCCGTATATAAAGGAGTGGAGGAGGGGGAGGGCCATCCCTCTACTATAGCACGCCCTGGGGAGTCCTACTCCCACCGGGAGTAGGATCCCCCCCCCCTTCCAAGTAATAGGAGTAAGGGAGAAGGAAGGGAAAGAGAGAAGAGAAGGAAGGAGGGGGCGCCACCCCTCCCCCTAGTCCAATTCGGACTAGGCCTTGGGGGCGCGGCCTGCCCTAGGCAGCCCCTCTCTCTCTCCCCTAAAGCCCGATAAGTCCCATATACTCCCCGGCGAATTCCCGTAAATCTCCGGTACTCCGATAAATACCCGAACCACTCAGAACCTTTCCGATGTCCGAATATAGCATTCCAATATATCGATCTTTACGTCTCGAACATTTCGAGACTCCTCGTCATGTCCCTGATCTCATCCGGGACTCCGAACAATCTTTGGTACATCAAAACACATAAACTCATAATACCAATCGTCACCGAACGTTAAGCGTGCGGACCCTACGGGTTCAAGAACTATGTAGACATGACCAAGATATGTCTCCGGTCAATAACCAATAGCGGAACCTGGATGCTCATATTGGTTCCTACATATTCTACGAAGATCTTTATCGGTCAAACCGCATAACGATATACGTTGTTCCCTTTGTTATCGGTATGTTACTTGCCCGAGATTCGATCGTCGGTATCCCAATACCTAGTTCAATCTCGTTACCGGCAAGTCTCTTTACTCGTTCCGTAATGCATCATCCCGCAACTAACTCATTAGTCACATTGCTTGCAAGGCTTATAGTGATGTGCATTACCGAGAGGGCCCAGAGATACCTCTCCGATAATCGGAGTGACAAATCCTAATCTTGGTCCATGCCAACTCAACAAACACCATCGGAGACACCTGTAGAGCACCTTTATAGTCACCCAGTTACGTTGTGACGTTTGGTAGCACATAAAGTGTTCCTCTGGTATTCGGGAGTTGCATGATCTCATAGTCATAGAAACATGTATAGTTATGGAGAAAGCAATAGCAACAAACTAAACGATCATCGTGCTAAGCTAACAGATGGGTCAAGTCAATCACATCATTCTCTAATGATGTGATCCCGTTAATCAAATGACAACTCATGCCTATGGTTAGGTAACATAACCATAATTGATTCAATGAGCTAGTCAAGTAGAGGCAAACTAGTGACACTCTGTTTGTCTATGTATTCACACATGTACTAAGTTTCCGGTTAATACAATTCTAGCATGAATAATAAACATTTATCATGATATAAGGAAATACAAATAACAACTTTATTATTGCCTTTAAAGCATATTTCCTTCATGTGACCCAAAGGTGGTCCTTTCTGTCAATTCCACTCGGCAGGTGGTCGGTCCTTTTGGAGAAAAAAAATCATATTTCTTTTTCATAGTTCATCCCCTATTTATTTGTTTATGTGCTAGTCATATATATTGTGTTCGTAGATGTTTCAGTTCTATGTTTAATACGTTCTGACATGTTCATGATTTACTTAGAGATTAAATCAATAAGAAATACTACTCCCTTGGACCTGAATTAATTGAGGCAACCTCTATAAAACATTGTCTAAGATGCTGCTCAATTAATTTGGATCGAAGGGAGTAATATTTACAGCAGAACATGTGTTGAACTGGAATGCATCAGGAATTTCCCAGAACCTTTACAACAACTTGGATAAACAACCGATTTCCTTGTATACATACTCCCTCCTTTCCGGTTTATAAGGCTGGTCATAGTGGGGAGTAACTTAGACTAGTGTCATATACATGACACCAGTCTAAGTTACTACCTTCATAGTGCAAAGTAACATAGTACTAGTGTCATATCTGGCCTCATTTAATAGCTTGTAGACTCATGTTGTTTTGGAAAGCGCTATGTTACAGTAACATATTATGTTACTACTTCTCATTAACTACTTGCCATATAAGCAAAAAATTCTAGAGGTGCGCTATGTTACTACCTAAGTTACTCCCACTATGACTAGCCTAAAGCTCAATTCGAAATTCTGACCAACCAAGGTAGATAGTGAGTGGTGGAATACTTTTTGTAGTTTGCAAAAGCATCCAATTAATGCTCTTGTTTTCCTCAAAAAATATGTTTACCAATGCATTAATTGTAATGCATGCATGTATAAATTACATGCATTGGTCAATTTTCTCTTAGTACTTGCATGCAATGATTTAATGCACCTTGGAATTTGAACATGTGATGGAAAACAACCAAATTGAGCCTTATGAAATGGAAAAACTAAAATTTTGAGATAAGCCCTATAAATCGAAAAGGAGGGAGTATATATGATATGAACCGAAAGCAATTTTGGGATCGGATTACAGTTTTTCTTATCTACGTCCAGAACAAGATGATCCGAGAGAAAAGAGGACAAAAAGAGCATTCCTAATTTCCTATCCTATACTATACCCCTTGTCTACATACTGTGAAAAGTTTAGACATGAAGGAAAAATTACTCTAAGAAGATTCCTCTGAACTCTGAAGGCAGCATGCATCCACCCTGAAAAGCTTGCGCGTTCCCGAGAAGAATGTCTCTCGTCCTCCACCTCGCAGTCTCAGAGTAAAAATTGCTGCAAATGGCGAGCAATCATGAGCACGTATACGCCACCTGCCGGCCGGTGCACTCAGGCACCACGGGCAGCCTACGCTCTCGGCCGGGCTGGTCTCGCCTCTGTTTCAGAGAAAGCCGGCCGGCAGGCGTGCCGCGTGCGCCGGGACGGCCACCTTTTGAGGCTGCTGCCGTTGCTGTCCTTGTCTGTCGACATGGTCACCTGTATGTACGCACGACGTGTCAGAATCTGGAGGAGCGGAGGCACCGGCAGTCTCGCGGCGGCAGGACGAGCATCTCCTCGGCCTCGATCACCGCGCCGCCGCGTGTCGCCGCCTCCCGCACCGTCGTCGACGTCATCGCCCTGCTGCCGGGTGGCCGCCTCCTGCCTTGCCGGCAGCACGTCTTGGCGGTGGCCGGCAGGCTTCGGATGGCGTCGTCGGCGTCGTGGAGGCGGATGGAGAAGAGGGAGTTGACGGGGCGGTGGTCGGAGAACCGGGACTCGCCGCGCTCGTACCACGCCTGCTCCACGCCCTCGCCGCGCCACAGGATGCGGTCGCACCTGCAATACCACCACCCAATAAATTAACCATCAGCGACATGGTCGTCGAAGCCTCGAAGGAATTACTAGCAGACTAGTTTAGCCAGCAGTAGATTAATTAGCGCTAGGTAGATCATGGCGGCGAGTGGCCATTGGCGTATAATTAACTACTACGTGCAGTGCATGCACAAAGCTTGCATCAGCTGCACCGCTAGGGAGGTAGATTCCTCATGGAGACTAGCTTGGCGCGACAAGGACTGGTCACCATGGAGTCTACGTACGCTACCCTAGCTAGCCTCACTAATTAATTCAAGTCTGAGCTAATCGCAGAGCATGTGCCTAAGCTCAAATCATGCAGATGCAGTGTGCAGTGAGTGCTCCGCCATGATCTTCTCATGCCATGTGAGACCTCTGAACCTCTGATTGATTAGTTCCTAACCGAACTGACGCTCGCATGATCCTTGGGTCAGATGCACTTTTTAGCGAAGTCAAATGGTTAATTACGGAGTAACAATTACGTACCATGCCGGCGTGCGCTTCTTCTTCTCCCGCGACGGCCTCCCGGCGGCGGCGGAGGAGCTCAGGGCGGCCATGGCGTAGGTGTCCGACTCGGCCAGGTACTTGTACGTGGGAGGGAACCGGATCTCCCCTTCCTCCCAACCGCCGCCGAACACACGCCCGGCCCTCTGCTCCGCGCGCAGCTGGTCGCGCTCCAGCAGCGCCCGCCACTCGTTCCGCTCCAGCAGCCCCCGCGTCTCGCCGTCGCCCCCGCCGCCGCCGCCCGTCGACGACAGACGGTAGTTCAGGTCGCCGAGCCAGATGACCTTGCTGCCGTTCCAAAACGTCCGATGCAGTCAGAGACAGAGTCCAGTTCAAAATATCAGAGGAAGATGTGGCTTTGGTTGGTGTCGTACGTACTCGTGCTCCAAGATGGTCTCCGGCGACGACGGTGCCGACGCCGGCAGTCTGGAGAACCGGTGGGGCCGCGGGAACCTCGTCCGCTTGAGGATCTCCGCGACGTCGCTGTTCCGGCGCACCTCGTCGCCGTCCTTCTCGCCGGACGCCAGGTGCGTGCACACGAAGCACAGGCTCGTCGGCGCCGCCGCCGAGCTGCCACCTTGCAGCGTCAGGCTGATCGAGATGGACCCCTATCACATATTCACAAACATTTCAGCAACAACTTAATGTTTGAATTTAAACTCCAGCAAATTAATTTTGCAAAATTTCATGATCATACAACATGCAATGAATTTACAATATTTATTTGATAGAAATTCACCTTGTTTCCCATGTAGCCCATGATTCCCCTGCCAACACAGGAGACCCTGAGTCCGGTGACACGTGGCATGACATCCACCCGGACCCACACGCAGAGGAAGATGCCCACCATCTGCTTGCTAGCAGCCAGTCGGTATCCATGACTCGCCCTCTCTCGCAACATCGTCGCAAACTCACTCGTCTCCTCCTCGCTGCTCGACTCTGGGTTCGACGTGGAAGGCTCGCTGTCCTCCTCCTCCTCCTCCTCAAGCTCTGATACTGCATCGTCCATCACCGGTATGTCCGAGAAGATGACCTTGGCCTTCTGGCTACATTCAGGGTTCGCCTCCTTAGCAGCGGTGCACCGGTGACTGTGGTGATAATTGTTGCTTCTCTCCAAGGAGGAAGGATTCAAGGCTTGCCCAATAAGGTCGAGCCACTTGGAAGCAGGGCCCCTGTCCTCCGCGCCAAGAACATTCCCAGCGTTCAGCGGCACTATTTCTTGGAAGCTGTAACACAAGAATTAACTTAATCAAACTTCAGAATCACTCTATATACTCCATCATTATGTCACCGTTTCACACGACAGCATGGCTTTGTTTATGCTGATCTAGGAAGTAAATTTAACTACATCAACATCTCTCATACTCACCTTGAACTACATCAATTAGTATAGTTTTTGAGGAGTGATGGGATGACTAATCATGATTAGTTGCATAAGTCCAACACTGAAACCCATGACAATATGTACTACAGGTAAAATACTCACTCCTATGCAAGTAAGGTAAGGTACACGACGTCCTGTCATGATTCTGGCCGGCATATGGGTTTGCGCTCTGCACTGAAATCCACACAAATTAAAGTTCACTCCTACCAATTCCTTTCAGTGGGTGTATTCAACAGCATTCCTTTGAGTGAGTGGCAATTTCAACCAGTACACTTTCCAAGTAACCCAATGTGTGCATCATTAGTTCATTACACATTTACACTATGTATGTTATTTCCATAAATCATAACTGAAGGCTATATCCACCGATACAAAACGAAAGAGACAAACGAGTTCAACACACTACCAGAAAACAGTATGTCGACACAAGTAGTATGCACATACGTACCCGAGAACATAGATGTGGGGAGGTGAGGAAGAGGCATGTTGATCGAGGAGCCAGTCGGAGAGGTCGAGCCCTTGGTGCGGAGCTCTCCCGCCCACGTTCCACGTCCCCACCAGCACCCTGTATTTTTTTTATAAACATACAAAAATACAGTTAATTACCGTACGGTATAAACTATCCAGAAATGAGTCAACATGTCCCATTTTTGCGAATGGAATCGACATGTTGTTTGCACATGAATCAACATGGTTTAATCAATCATTCACTAAGCGCAAGTCCATCGCCTCAACTCAACCCCATCTGCTTAGTTGATATTCCGACTTTCTCTAAATATGCTACTACTAGTAGTAGGGTGTTTTCTCTCTGAACCCAATAATAGAAAAAAGATGCTCGGACTTTGAGAGAACAGGCTGTATTTTTGTTCGTTTGCTTCACTAGGCATGTAGCTCTTGCTCCATATGCACATGATGCACGCAGATTTATATGCGTTGACAATCGACATGATAAGGAAAAAGCAATTGAAGTGCAGAGACATTGACGCATGAAGATCAGGGCTCGTGTGTGAGTCACTGACCTGAGCTCCTTGGGAGGCTGCCACGACGAGCCCGGCCCATACCGCGGGTGGGGAGGCATCAGATTCTCGCGCCCCTCCTCCACCAACCACCCTGCTTCACCTACGCACGCACAAACAAACAACAATTCAGACCAACAAGATATTCAGACCACGTTCGTTCATTCGGCTCCATTACAAAACTGTTCCATCTCGTGTGATGAAACAGTTGCTGCTATGTCTGTGTGTGTGTGTGTCTCTTTTGATGGTTTTATCCGGGGACAAAGATGTACAGAGCTGTTTGTTGCTGTTGTTGTTGTTGTTGTTGCTGTTGTTGCAGCTAACAGCACCAGCAGTTGCTGTGACAGTAAAAGTTTGTTAAGTGGTCCGTACCTGACAGATCTCGCCGGCTGCCGTCCCTGTCCGAGCAGCTCTTGCGCCTCCCCTGCTCCTGCCCTCTGCTGCCAAACCTATCACCTGATCGAATTTTAGACAACACGCAGAGTTAGTTGATGTTCGTGTGATAGTTAACCGTTGGAGAACTATCCTGTCGGAGGTTTTGTTAGATGGAACTCCAAGAACGACGATAGATAGAAATGGTTGTTTCTTTGATGGATCATGGCGATCGACTTACTGGTGCAGTCTGAATGGAAGGACGGCTCTGCGTTGCTCTTGAGGCTCAGCCATCTCCTCACCGCCGTCCTCGTCCTCCTCGGCCACGACGACGACTGCGCAAACAAACGAACGAACGAAAATTAGTCTCTGTATAAATAAAAGAAGGAAGAAATTTGAAGGAGAACGATGTTCCTGAATCCAGAGATTGATTGGAAACCATACTAACCTTTGGGATTCTTGCATTGTCCGTCGCCATGATTCGATCTGCCGACCAGTCTCCTGGATGCTCTGTCCGCGTCCGTCAATCTGTAAAGAGATGATGATATGTGATGAGGGACTGACTACTCCAGGCCGGAATCGAATCGGATACAATACAGCAGCTCCGATTCCTGGCTCTTTAACTAGGTGTAAAGAACGTCGCAGAAAGTGTTAAATCTCAAGCATCACCAGTACTAACTAATAATCTACTCCCTTTCTCCGGAAAAACTTATCATCAAAATGGACAAAAGGGGGTGTATCTAGAACTAAAATACATCTAGATACATCCTCTTTTATTTATTTTGATGACAAGGTATTTCCGGACGGAGGGAGTATTTATTAAAAATGTAGGCATGTAGGGGAGGGAGGGAGGGAGGTGCGAATAAACTACTGGCGCGAAACTAAACTAGTCCGGTAATACAGCTTAGCAGCTGCTCTGCTGGAGCTGGAGGAGGAAGAGTAAAGTAAACGAGAGCTCAAGCAGAGCAGATGAGAGCAGACCGGGGAGGAAGAATAAAGCAAAACCAACCAAGTGGAGGGGCGGTGCCAATCTGATACGTACTTTTCTAGATAAATCTATCATGTTTGGCCGATCTGGTTCAGAAATCATCAAGCAAGCGAGCAGACGGAGCACATGCGTCGACGGCCGGCTCAAGCCACCGGCCGGCACGCGTTGATCCCAAAATCCGTCCAAAATCCAAATGGTGGTGCAAGCAAAGATGCAAGAACTGGAGAGACACCCATTTTCTCCGCCTTAATCTCTACCCTCCACGGCGTACTCAATCCAAAATTCGCAAGAGCATCTCGTGGCCGTGGCGACGAGGAAAGCACGGGAAAGACCATGCGCTCTGTGGTGCGGTGCGGGGAAGAAGAAAGCTGCAAACTGTTGATGAAAGCAGAGCAGAGGCAGGCAGGCAAGAATCAATGGAGGATCGAGGCGGAAGCTCGGGGCTTTCAGGAGCGGTTACCTTGACTTGGTCGAGCAATCTGCCGCCGGAGGGGGAGGAAGGAGGAGAATGGGGTTGACGTGCCGCGAGAGCGAGGGGGGGAGGGGAGAGGTGGGCGGTTTGCTGGGATAATTTTATAGGTGCGGGAGGTGGGGGGAGGAGGAAGAAGAGGTGTGCGAGGTGGGGGACGAAGCGTGGGAGTGGGGGTGCGGCCTGCTGCCTTTATAGGTGCGGTGCGCACTGCCATGTGGGCCATGGGTTGAAAAACGCTGCTCGCCACCCCTGTCTCTCTGCCTGTGGGCCCACACCACCAAGGTACTAGTAGGGACGAGACTTGCCTGCTCCCCCGGCGTGTGTCCCCGACGTGACTTGATTTGATTGGAACAAAATAAAGCCCGGTCCCACCGCATTAAAATCAGGGAGGAGGTGATTAGATCAGAAAGAAAAGAGGAAAAAAACAACCGTAGGATGAAGTGAAAGTACGGATGGGAACATAGAAAGAGAACAGCCGTATCCAGGTAGTATGTGGCCTTTGTTGGTTGCATTTTAAAAATTGATTCATATATTCTGGCGTCTCAGGTTTTCCTTTTACTAAATAACAAGACGAATTTTTATTTTCTTTTTGTCGGCAAAATAATGTTTTCGTCGCGCTAATCATTCCCCGAGGAAATACAATCTGCGGATCATTCAGTTGGTTTTCAACTATACATAATTAATAATCTGACTATAATGAACTCACAAAAAAAAATCTGACTATAATGCATCTACTTACAGTGTGCTAACCAGTCCGAGAGGAAATACAGCCTCTGGAAAATTCCTTATTTTGATGTTAGTTGCCTAATCGACCATATCGGCTTTCCACGGGTAATACTTCGATCGGTAGTTTGACAATAGTGCTAGATGGTCAACAAATGTAACTTCACTTCTGTAAATTGCCTTGTAGTACGATCTATTTGCAAATCAATTTGTTTTTGCAAATTTTCTCTCCATGTGGAAAGGTTTTGTAATTCATTGAATTCCAGAGCAAAACATTCCCATGTCCGAAAAACTAAAGAAAATGACACTTTGCCACTTTCATGTGGTGTTTGTTGTTTCAACTGTACATAGAAAATGTATGCAATTAACGCCTGGTAATTCTTCAAATTCGCTATTTCATTTCATTCCTACTGTATCTCTTGTTGTCCGTCCATCACTGTATTATCGTTATGCCCGTCTCTTCGGTCGTCTTGGTTATGAGCATGGGGCGGGGATGGAGATGGTGCCATGGATGACCGGGCGGCAGCCTTGGTGTGGTGGGAGCCTCGGTGATCGGGGGCGGAGCACGCGACTCAGATGATGTCCGGTGACCAGGGCCGTGTGGCATAATGGTGGCCTGGGTGTGATGTCCGCTGTGGTGGTGCAGTCGACCGTGCCACAATTCGAGGACGGTGAGTGTTGGTCGGGGTGAGAACCTGATATGACTTGTCAGGCCGTCGGCAGCGGCGTTCTAGCGTCGTCCCATTTTTGAAGGCGGTGTCGCGGATACTCATTGTTCGCCGTGGTGCTAACCCTTATCCTTGAATTGAGCGGCGGTGGCGCTCCGGCGTCGTTTCCTTTCTGAAGGTCCCGCCTTGGAGCCCACGGTTTATCATTCTCGGCCTTTGTCTCAATGCAGTGGCTTGTCCACAGTTGAGGATCATCCCGGCGACTCCATAGTGATGCATATTGTTCATCTGTTGTTGACTTGAAGTTGTTTGGGGGCAGTGAGACCGTTCTCAGCGTTTTGTATTCTATCTTGGCTGCGTTTGGTGTGGTGGCATACATTTGTATCTGTGTGTTTTGCATCGGTTGGCTCGATGATGGTTGCTTTATATATAAAGCGGGGACACCCCCTTTTTTAACGCAATACAATCGAAGTCGCTCACATACGTGAGCGTACACTTACCCCTATGAACCCACGTACGCACACCTTACCCCTATGAGCATCTCCGAGAGAATGAGTCGGCATAGCATCTTGAGATTTTACAAAGTCACCACAGGCGCAACGTAGTTGATGGGAACATCTTCTCCAACTGAACGAATATCGTCGGAAGCCTAAAATAAATCCAAGAATAATGCGAGCATCAATATCAAGTCTAGAACTTCAACCCTGATGAGAAATGGATACACTGTCCTCCTAACCATCCAACCACACATAAGTTCGCAGGAAAGTTTTTTCGATACTATCATTATGCAAGTAGTAAAAATGGGTGAAGCCTGGTTCAAAAAAAAAAATGTAGGCAAATTGTAGTGCTTGCTGTGGTAGGATATTTGTCACTGACATGCCTGGCCGGGGTTGACGAGTTACAACCACTGAGCTCTTGACACCGAACCAAACCAAAAGACTGCCATTGCTTAAAATTTTTGGAGGCGTCTGAAGGTCGGCGGAGCGTAGCTTCTTGTTGACCCTCTTTACCGACGCTTTTGAGCTTTTTTTTCTGACACCAGCACCGAGAGCTGGGCTCTACGCGTACGTACATCACGTAGTAGCTCAATTCAGCAAGTCAGCAGTCTTGGGCGCGTTACTCCCTTTATTTTTATTTACTTTGCATATTAGAATTGACTGAAATCAAACTTCATAAAATTTGATCAAGTTTAAAAGTCCAAACATTTACTATAAGAGCATCTCCAACGGACGCATGCTAGCGCGACCCACTGAAAAGGTTTTGCAGCGCTGAAATAGTGTTTTTGTGCGCGGGAGGTTTAGCAGACGCAAAAAAACATGGCGCCCAACCGGCGGTCCCACATGTAGCAGACCGCACGCATAAGCCGGCGCCTCAAATATGCAGCCCACAGCCCGCGTGCACTAAATTTACAGCTTTGTTTTTGTGCGTGCTCTATTTTACAGATTCTGCTGGAGCGTTTTTTTGGTCGCGCGCGCTATATAAGCATCTTTTCCAGCGTGCACTTTATTTGGCGCGTCTATTGAAAGTGCTCTAACAAATATATATGATGTGAAAATACATTCAATAATAAATCTAATGATATTATTTTGTTATTGTATATGTTAATATTTTTATTTATAAATTTTGTCAAAGTTTACAAAGCTTGACTTTGATTAAATCTAATACATAGACTAAATAAAAACAAAGTGAGTACTTACGGAAAAGGAGCCGCTGGCATGCTGAATTGCTGACTCGACTTCGCGTA